CAATTCCAAAGTGCCATTAGCAAAGATCTCACAGAAGTGTGATGTGTCACTGTTAATGCTGTCTTCTGGAAAAACAGGTCTTCAAAGTGGGAAGAGTTCAAACAGGGGCCATTAAATGTAGATTACCAATGGCCACTGTCCTCAATGAGAGGCCTGAGGTCAAGATATTCAGTTATTAAAGGGCTTACATACATCTACAGCTTCTCTGGAAGCTGTTTTGAAATTTCTTTCATATTTTTTCAAGTATCAAATGTAAGCGAAAGCTTATGTTTAAAGTCTCTTAGGTAGTCTCAATGGTTTCTGAACTATCTGTGGGAAGCTCTGACTTCACTGTTCTGAGTCTGATATATGTGTCCACCATTATTAAATTCAGGTCATGTTTTAGGTCAAAACTCATGTTACGCAAAGCCAAGTAACCTCACCTTTGGCCTGTCAAAGTGTTCTTCAGGTACGCTTTGCGACACCTGGCCTTATTTTTCATAGTATTCATTCTCAACCTTCATCACAGAAATACATGGGACCTTCAGCAATGTACAAACATTAGGGAAAAAATTGATGCTTGTCAGATGGAGAGCTTCATAAGTGGTTGATGGAAACTGTATCTTCCCCTCTGTGTTCCCACTTGTTTCTTTAACAGTGCAACGGAGCTGAGAGCATGCCAGGACTGGGCAAGCCACTTCTGTAGGCACCAGCATGGCCCTCCCACAGCATATTAAATGGGATCTGCCCCATGACTGAAGGCACCAGAGATAAGCACTGAAGAGATTTCAGGTGCTGTTCTGAGACTCCTTCAGTCCCTGAACAGTGTGCTCCACTGTTGGACACTTAGAATTTCCTTAGGACCTCTCAGACACCAGCTGAGATTCCAGGTTGCCTTGCTGGGCTCTGCGGACATGCTCAGGGAGTTTCATCTGAATACCAAGGTTGGGAACCAAATTTGTGGCTTCAGCAAACCAAAGTTTATGATAAGCTTCAATACGTCCAATCAATTCGTCTAGTGAACAAAGCACTGCAGTCAAATGACTGGCTGCAAAGAAGACATCAGAGGTTTGCCCTTGGATATTTTTCCCAAAGGTTCTTGTAAAAGACAGAACATGTTCTGGAACAATAGTGCTAACAATGAAATTGAAATGTGTTACTGCACTACAGAGCACAAAAGCCTACACAGCCGTAGTCATTCTGTCCGGGACTGGTGTCACTATGGGAACATAAAACAAGTGCGTGGAGGAGGTCCACTAAAATTTCGAAACCATCATTCCAGACTGTCCACTGAGGAGGGCCAATTTCCTTCTGTTCTTTGTCCCTTTCTTCACTGCTCTCAAACAGGACAGAAATTATATTGCCATGCTCTAAAAGCATGTGTGATAATTGTGGGGGGAGGGGGCGAGACACAACACAACAACAATGAATTTTGTCAATTGTTTCTAATGCAATACAACAGATAGTCCCACAACAAACATTGCTTTTGCCAAGCACATATTTAAGGCCCAGGAAGAGCAGATTGTGTAGCTAGCTTGGGACTATTTCTCTAAAAGCCTGAAGGCCACAGCTTCAATTTTGGAAGAAAATCCACTGGACACAATGTAAACCTGGCTACGATCACATCCATGTTTAATCCCCACTCCTCAGTCATCAGAGTGTGAAATGATGAAGCTGACATTTTGGCGCCGGCTTCATAAGTTAGGAGTGCACAGGTTATGGATTTGTGGACAAACCTTGCCAACATGGGCAGGCATATCTCCTCTGCGACATCAGCTACACAGTCAGTGATCCCGGAAATCAAGGGATGGTCTCTCGCGTCCCTGAGGGTTTCTTCCCAGACGCAGCCCTCACCAATGTCTAGCACCTGTGTCTGTTCTTCCTCGCTGGGGTGTCAGAGAGCCCCCTCAGTGCCGTTCCCCCCAAATCCGTCTGGCACCACAGCAGGGCTTGGATGCTATCAGGAGTAGACAACTTCTGGAATTTCATCAGCCTCAGGCCCCTCCAGAGGTAGGTAAGATTTGATTTCCCAGAAGAATCAAAATTTCAAATAGACATTTGCAGTAGTCTTTGTTTTCCTTCTTTCTAAGGGCTAAAGATGATGTCTTCATCCTGTTCTTGGCCCTTTCTTTTGCACTGCGGTTCCGAGCACCCGCTGTCAGTTCTTCGTTTCTGTTGCTCTTTAGAAGCTTCATAAGTTCTCTTTTCTGTTTCAGTGTCCTGATTTCATCTTCACCCAATTCTTTTACTCATTTTCTGTGTCCACCTTGTAAGTTGTTCAGATGTCTGGCAAGATCCAATACCTCTCTTATGGCATTATCTTAAAGAACCGTCCTATGGGAGCCTCGCTGACCCAGTCAGTTAAGTGACCTGACTCCTGATTTCAGCTCGGGTCATGTGAATCTCAGATTGCGATACTGACCCCATGTCCAGCTCTCCCCTCAGCAGGGAGTCTGCCTGAGAGTCTCTCTCTCTCTCTCTCTCTAAAACTAAAAATAAATCTTGAAGAACTGTCCTATAAGGACTGGTTCTATAGATCACAGAGGTCTCAAAGTGTTTGGTATGTCATCTATAACATTCATTGACTTGATCAGTCATTTCATCATCTAAGTTTGCTCTCGTTACAATTACCTGCCCACCTCTGGCACCTGGCAGCGTTCTGCGGGAACCTGAGGAAAGGCAGGTCTACCGCTCTTCCACACACGGCTGGGGGTGGCACAGAAGGTGAGGCACCTCCGCTGCCCTTGGCCGGCCCAGCCCTCTCCTCCCCACATGCTCCGAGCGGCCCACCTGCCTGTCCTCAGCTCAGCAGGTGCCTCAAGAGTAATGCTTTTATTCTTAGGAATTTGATTAGACAGTCCAAAGAAACTGACTTTTTTCCTTCTTTAATGAGAGGAAAGAAGCAAACTCTTGGGATTATGATAGTATCGGATCTCACAAGCGCCTCTTGGTCTTAGACTGAGCTTTCCAGCAAGGACACAGAAACGAACACACTGTCATCCATTATTTAAATCAAGTGTTATGTCAACAGGAGCTCATTTGTGTCTCAGAGCATCACCATAGTTCAAAATTATCTCCACATCTGTCATTCTTCGCTAACAATAGCAAGTTGCCCTATTAGTTCTCCACCACCACCTAGGAATTAATTCACTTGCGGCAGAACCCAAGGAGAATTTAAGAAGGCGAATGTCCTTCCCAGACCCATAATAAGTTGCTAATTCAACAGTGACAAGGCAGGAACCCTCTTCAGCTGCACTCTACATGTGAGAGAGAGAGAGAGAGAGAGACAGAGAATCAGTCTGTGGAGTTTACTGACCCAAAGACCTGGGCATACCTCTGTTACAACATTTCTCACAGTCCTGAAGTTGTTTACCTACAAATACAACTCAGTCGTTGGACAGCAAGGCCCTGGAAGGCAGGCATCATGTTTGGTTTCTCTCTCTACTATCTAGAATGCATAAATAAAAGCCTCGTACACATGCACTTCCCTTAATAGCTTTCAGCCTCGCTCCAGAAGTTGTGCACACAGAGCACCGAGCAGATGGGTTTGAGACTGCTTCTTCCATGTCCTCTGGCTCATCTTTCTGTGGAGGTGATGATGAGGATGAAAACGGTCAAAGGAGGAGGCAGAGCTCCCAAAGGCAAGGTGTGTGCGGGGTTTAGCTAAAAGTGCATCCTAACATGTCCTTACCCGAAACTGCAGGCTAGAGAAAGAGTGACAGGCAAAGAAGCCATCAGTAGAAAAGGGACAGGGAAAAAATGCTCAGTGAGCCACTACTATAATATGCAGCATTTGCAAACATGACCCTACTTAATCCTTGGCACATGGCTTTGGGATAGAGAATTATCTCCATTTTATAGAGGAAGAAAAGGAGAGGTTAAATAATTTGTTCAAGGGCTGACAATGACTAAATGCTGCAACAGCATTCTAACCCAAGTCTGCCTGTCCTCAAGGCCTGCTCCTTCCACTAATCCAATGTGCCTCTTTGGAAGGTACGAAGTAGAAAGCCACTGGATTGTGGATATATCCTCCGTGGGCCGGACCCCCTGGCCCCAGCAGTGGTACCTTGTCTGGGTCCCTTGAGCCCTAAAGCCAGAAGGCTCAGGTTGTAGGAAGGGCAGAGCTGCTATGGGCTGGCTACTCCCTAGGACCCAGGGTTGACCTGCTCTTTGCTGAGGTTGTGGCTGCTTTGCTCTCCACAAGCAGTGGGTGGGCGAGCTATAGTCAGCCTCACGCAGTGCACCGAGTCCCTACTGCTTGTTTCTATACTGATAAAATGTGTTCGACGCTCTACACCAGGCCTTATCTAATTAGGATGTGTCTACTTGCAAGCCAATGGTGGAGAAAACTCACAAAGAATTTACTTTCACCTCTTTCTTCCAGCCAGGGCGTTGGCTCAGTCTGAGATGTCAAGTGGGACCACACTGGAGCCTGAGATTTTCTTCTTACATAGCCCATCCTCTTTAAATATTTGGCAACAGAACCTATCCTCCGATGATTTATAGCCTGGAACTGGAGGCCTGCCTACTCCTGGCCGGCTTCACATAAAGAACAAAAACCCCAAACACCACCTAACAGAAGGAATGGGATCCGTGAGCATTTGGAGGCAACTCATGGACATGGCCTGCCTAGCGCTGACTTTCCTACTACACCTCCCCTTCCAAGGAGCCTCTCGCAACAATCTCATTAAGGTACTCAGTTCTGTTAAGCATTTTTGAACACAGCGGCTTTGTGGGCTACACACTAATCATGGAGAGCAGACTTGGCACCAGTGAGCAGGAGCTGTACAAATGATTCCCACCGAACCTAAAACCAAACTTCAAATAACTATTGCTGAATGGGGAAGTAGTTGAACCGGAAGACACCCAAGATTAAAGTCTAGTAACTTCTAAAGTCGAAGTTGCAATTCCATGATTTCAGACTTTCAAATGTAACCAGCTACCTTGCAGCACCTAAGGAGATGGGATATGGAAGAGCTAGGTTTTACTGAAATCATCCAGCCTGGAGGGCTGTGACCTACCGGTTCTCTTGGTGCAGAATCCTGCTACACCCAGCATGGTCCCGAGTGCCTGGAGAAAGGTCTGCAGGGGGTCAGGATCCAAAAAAGCTTCAAGGGGAACAGCTTTTGAGAGAAGGAGGTCAGTGAAGAATGGGTTACCTTGAACTCAGTTCTGATTCTCTAAATCAGAAACACAAGCCAATCCCACCACCACTCCCCACAAATGAAACAAATCTCTAATGGTAGAATCACTGCTTATAAGCTCTTAAAGCCAGAGCTGAGGCTGACTTCAAATCTGAAGCTTGAAGAACAAAGACCGGGGTTCAGGGGGAGGTTAGGAATGGGCCAGCAGCACGCTGAGGGTAGGGAACATGTCTCATCTCGGCTGAATCTCCTGGGCACTGGCCTCCCACCGCAGGCCAGCACATGGTGCCCACCTTGAAGCAGCAGGCCTGTCAACACCAGAGATAATGACCATCTCCACCTTGACTTTGTTGGGGGTCAGTCCCACTGAGTGTCTGTCTGCAAAGTTGCAAATACCCAATCAGATTCTCTTCCTGCCTTCCTCCCCGTCTCCCAGGCTCCACTGATCGCATGGGAAAGTATGTCACACTCTATAGCAGGCTTTCAATATCTAAACACCAAGTGTGCTTTCCTCTGTCACTTGATCTCTCTGCCTCCTTTTTGATTAACCATGACATGACGGCCTTCATTCTGTCTGACCTGCAGGAACGGCAGGATGCTTTACGAAAGGCACCGGCTTTGGGTTCTGGCGAATATGGGTCTCAAATCTGTCCCTGCCGCTTAACCAACCATGCAACCATGGATGTATTTCTTAAGCACTCTGAAACTCAACCTCAGTTTTCTCATCTGTGAAATGGGAATCATAATAACTCCCTGAAAGGACACAGAGTTGGGATCACTGAGAATTCCAGGGTGGGAGTTACAGGAGATGCCCAGAGATGGTCAATCTGTGCCTGCTTAGACTATACCATGTCCTTTAAGAAGCCAGCTTCTCTCTCTGACAGGGTGCGACACTTAAAAACTGAATACATTTTCAATGATGGTTATGTGATCTATATAAAATAAAGCACTTCCTGCCAACTACATAAACAGAGGAGAGCATGTACTCATTCCTGTTCTAATTTAGTCTGTCTGAGTGCCTCAAGGTCTTTGCGAGGTAAATACTGTTCTCGCTCTGACCTTGGCGCAGCGTTCCCATTGAATTTGTCTCAGTTTGTCCTTTCGGTGTCAGGCTGCTGCCTTTCTAATAGATTGAAAGCCCTCGGTTGAGAACAGAGATCAGTGAGATCCAATAACCCGTAAATGCCCGGCTAGCCCGGACGACGAGAAAGCGGGATGTTCGGGGTAACTTGCCGTTGCGTGTGTCTGAATTACCCGTTTTCAAAGAATAGAACCCAATGAGGCACAAGACCGGCATGGAACACAAAGACATTGCTGGTGATCTGGGAGCCCCTTGGAGGCTGGCAGGGACGCGGAGCTCACGGAGGAGGTCACAACTCAGCCGCAGAAGAGAGCGAGCGGAGCCGTGTTCTCAGGCGCTCCGGGTATTTTTCCGAAACATCTTTGACTCTGACATGTTTACTTTTTGCTTGTTTCTGCTTCACGGAGGCTTAGGGAAAACATTTGTGCTAGGCTTTCCTCCATGAAATATAAAAAAAAGAAAAAGAAAAAGGAATTTGCAGTTAGTGCTCAATTGAACGATCCAGGAAAAACAGCTGCTCAGGTCCGGGGGCCGCTGACGACTGGGTCGGGGCCGGTCGGACCCTCCCTCTCTGGCTCCTCGTCAAGAGATTCAGATATTCAGGGACTGAGTGCTGCCTCGCTTTCCCGATAACTTCGTTTTCTTTAGAAGTCATTTTTTTTCTCTTTTCTTCTAAAGGAAACGTGTAGTCATTGTCAAACATTTAAAAAAATACAGCCAAGAGAAACAAGGAAAAGAACAGTAGCTGTCCTTTACCATTTGGAGAGGACTATTAATACTTTGAAAGCTTTTTCCTAGGCACAAATAAAGATATACGTTTAAAAAATAGGTTCCTAAAATATAGAATGCAATGGTAACTACTTTCTGCCTCTCAAAAAATAAATACGTCACCATCATCTTTCTATGTTAATATTCTCCCTCAGCATACTTTTTAATTTTTAAAAACATTTTATTTACTTATTTGAGAGAGGAGAGAACACGAGCAGGGGAAGTGGGGGAGGGGACGGAGGAAGAGGGAGAGGACTCCCAGCTGAGCAGGGAGCAAGACAAGGGGCTCGATCCCAGGACCCAGAGATCATGACCTAAGCTGAAGGCAGATGCTTCACCGACTGTCACCCAGATGCCCCTCTGCATACATTCTAATGAATGCAAAGAATACCATGCGTCGTAAACCACAGTTTATTCTGAAATCTAGCAACACCCTCATAAGCAACATTATTGTTTAAAAAGGGGGAAAACCACTCTATAAATCCGTGCTTACATCCAAATTTATTCCCACTGAATCATTTCTTTGGAGTAGAATTGAAGGACCAAAATCATTAAAAAAAAAAAAAAAAGTATATATCAGCAAACTGCTTTTCAAAGATTTAACCCAAAGGATACACTCCACTGACAGTATACTGCTGTTCCTATGTCTATTCCCAAGAAAACTGTGGCATTCTTTTTTTTTTTTAAAGATTTTATTTATTTATTTGACAGAGATCACAAGTAGTCAAAGAGGCAGGCAGAGAGAGAGAGAGAGAGAGGAAGAAGCAGGTTCCCTGCTGAGCAGAGAGGCCGATGTGGGGCTTGATCCCAGGACCCTGGGATCATGACCCCGGCTGAAGGCAGCGGCTTTAACCCACTGAGCCACCCAGGCATCCCAAACTGTGGCATTCTTGATGTCAGGGAGGGTGTCATTCATCTTTGCATCCAACATCTCTATGTTTTTTGGACATTAAGTCACTGCAGTATTTGTTGAATGAATGACGCGATAATTCCTTGTTTAAACAAACATATAGAATGAGTTTGTACAATGTCTCTGGGGCTCAGCCTTCTCTTATGCAAAATGAGAGTTTTAGGTTATAGGCTAACATCCTGTGACTTCATATCTCTTGTATAAAAAGCAATGACCTAGATACCTTAGGGGAGATTAGCCATAAAGACAATCCATAACCACAATTACGGTACCTGTAAGCATATATATTTCATATATAGCCCAATTATAATTGTATAGAAACATACAAAGATGTGCTAAGTATTCAGGGAGATGAAGGCTAGACGACAGGACAGGATACTCCAGGAAGACGATGCTCAGCTAAGCACAGATCACCAGCTTCCTGTCTGGAAAAAAAACTCTTCCCCATTCCGGATTTTGTGTTTTATTGGTATCTAAAAAATAGCAGGTAGAATTATCTTAAGATTCAGTTTCCTGGGGCACCTGCGTGGCTCAGTCGGTTAAGTGGCTGCTTTCAGCTCAAGTCATGATCCCAGGGTCCTGGGATTGAGCCCCACATCAGGCTCGCTGCTCAGTGGGGAGCCTGCTTCTCCCTCTGCCTGTTGCTCTGCCTACTTGTGCTCTCTCTCTGTCAAATAAATAAATAAAATCTTTAAAAAAAAAAAAAAAAAAGATTCCGTTTCCTTAGGTAATTTCACCCAGGACAACCAAGCTTATCCTGCTAGATTTTAGGAATATATCAACTACTTTTAAATTACCCGAGATATGATTTTATCTGTTGACTTTCATGCTCCTAGACGTCCTGGTTCATTGGCAGTAAACGTCTGTAGATCTCTAAACTACCTGTGTAGCAATCATGCCCACCTTCTATAACGCTTCTTTCTCCAGGCCTCCCTACTTCACAGAAATATTCGGCTCCCACCATCACTCAATTTATTACTTACATAATTTGTGGTGATTTATTGAAAAACTATAAGGTGCCTTTTAATCTGCCGGGGGAAATGAGGCAATGTGGTAAGCCTAAACGTTTAATCTTGTCATTGTAGTGTCTACCACCAGACACAAGGGGAAGAAAGCACCTTCTTCTGGGAGCCAGGGGAGGTCTCCTAGAAGAGGATTCTTGAAGATGACTCTGGGGATGATTCTGGAAGAATGAGCTCAAGCTTGCTCAGGAAATGTGTGGGTGACAGCAGAGAATAAGATTCAAGCAGAGAAAAAGCACAGAAAGTCACAGAAAGGGGACAGAGACTGGTTGTCTATCAATACCCCCCAACTCATGGCTCTTTGCACACCACCCCCACAGTTCACCTCACAAAGGGTCAGCTGGGGATCCTCCAGTCACTCTGATTCAGTCCCCTCTGACCCACCTGCTTCATCCCAAATGCTTCCACTCTCCTTCCCTGGGCAGACCTGACCAGCTCCAGCCTCTGCAGTACTAGGTCACTTAGTCTCAAAGTGGTAGCCACCTTACTCTGGGGATCTAAAAAGTGTGAACCCCTGTTACCCTCAGAGAATTCCTTCCGGGCTCCGAAGCCACGTTTCTAAATAAGTGTCTTTGACTGGCTTTGATAATTAGAACAATGCTGACCTCACAAAATCAATCTGGAAATGTTTGCTCTCCTTTAATTTTTGGAGAAGTAGGAGAAGGATTGGAATTAATTCTTTTTTAAATGTTTGGTAGAATTCACCAGTGGAGCCGTCTGGTTCGGGGCTTTTCTTTGTTGTATGGTTTTTGATATTGATTCCATTTCATATTTATTATTGATTGCCCAAGTTTTCTATTTTTTTTCATTATTCTTTATAGGGTGTGTGTTTCTAGGAAAGGTATACATTTCTTTGAGGCTCTTCAGTATGCTGGTACATAACTGTTCATAAGCAGTCTCACCATTTTTATTTCTGGAGCATCAGTTCCAATGTCACTTCTTTCATTCCTGAATCTCCATCTTCTTTTTTGTTATTCTAGACAAACATTTGTCCATTTTGTTTATCTTTTCAAAAACCAACTCTTAGTTTTATTGATTTTTCCACTTTTTTTATGTTATTTATGTTCTTATCTTTAATTTTCCTTCCTTCTGCCAAACTTGGGGTTAGTTTATTTTTTTTTTCTTTGTACTGTAAAGTTCATTATAAACTTGAGATCTTTCTTTTTTTTTAATATAGGCATTT